CATTTTCAGAGGAAATACAGTGAAATAGCTTTTAATATAACATATCTCATAAATTGTTGATGTCAAAAAGGGCGCAAAACTTATGACGTCACCACATTTAGCCAGTGAGAATGCACTGTGGGATATCAGATATAGCTAGCTACTTAATTATTATTTTTTTTAATTTGCTTGATATTGTTATACTTAATAGAAGTAAAACTAAAATTCCCGTCTTTTATTTATGATAGCTAAGAGTTCCTTACTATTAATGGGCGTGAGAATACTCTTAGGTAAAAATAAATTTCATTTTCGAAGTTAATAGGCTGAGTGGAAGTACCTGGTTATATGTACCTTGATATCTTTTCATCATGTTAAAATCGATCTTTGTCTTCTTTATTTTTTCTTTTCCACAATTTTTTCCCTGATTCCCCTGTCTCTTCTTTCTTTCTTTCCTCCTTCACTCCTCTTTGTTCCACCTCTCAACCTTTTTCTCTCCTTCCACCGTGTTTCCCTTCTCTGCTTCTCTCTCTCTCTCTCTTGCTCTCTCTCTCTCTCCTCCTCTCCCTCTCTCTCACCCATAACTACCTCCCCCCTCCCCCAACCACCACCAGTTAACCCCCTCCCGCCCACCCCAGACAGACATGCGAAGTGGGGCGGCGGGCGTGTCCAGAGCCTCGCCCGCGTCTTCAACAGCGAGGGGGACGACGGCAAAGGGGCGGCTTCCCACCAGGCCGCCTACACCTCCTCCCTCGCCTCCATCCACGACCAGCGCCATCGGGCTCACCTCCGCTACGGCGATCTCGTGACCTCCATTCTCCAGCATGAGGCCGACCTCCAGGTGAGCGGTCGGCTCGTTCCAATAGTTTTTTTTTTTTATTGTTATTCTTGGTTGAGTTTTTGTTGTTGTTCTTGTCTTTTTATGGGTTTATTTATTTGATATATTTTTTTTATTAGTAATTATTATTTTTTTCTTTCGTGCACTTTTTAAAAAATTCTTTAAATGGTATAATTTTTTTATTCGTTATTATTATTATTATTGTTCTCTTTCTTACATTTTTTAAAGATTCTTTAAATGGCTTAACTGTTTTTATTTCCTTCTTACTCTTTCAATTCTGTTTTTTTTTTGATCTTGTTACTCTTAACCCTTTTTTGACCTTTCGTGAGTATTCTTCATCCTTTTCGAACTTTGATAGGCCTTCCTTAACGTTTTTCAGACTCCCTTGACTCCTCTTTATTCTTCAAATCTCTTTACTATCTTCATTGATTCTTACTAGGCCATTCTTAACTCTTTTTCCCATTTTTCATTTTATTTGCTTATTTTATTGTTTTGTTATTTTTCATTTTTTTAAATCTGTTTTTTTTTTTTTTTTTAGTTTTCTTTATCTTTAATTGAATTTTATCTTTGATTCTCTTTGACCTTTGTTGACCCCCGTAGTCTCTTATTAGGTCTTTCATAACTCTTTTTTCCTTTTATTTTCTGTTTTCCTTTATTTATTCATCTATGTGTAGTTCTCTTTACCTTCAAATGAGTTTTATTTTTAATTCTCCTTGACTACTCTATATTCTTGAAATCTCTTTACTATTTTACATTGATTCTTATTAGGCCCATTTTCATTTTTTTAGTTCTCTTTATCTTTAACTTCTTACAAGGCCACTCTTTTTTTCCTTTTTTATATGTTCCATTTTTTTTTTTTAACCTTTGATTGAGTTTTCTCTTTAATTCTCCTTTACTTTATTATTATTTTTTATTTGATATGTTCCTTTTTTTTTTCTGAGTTTTGTCTCTTTTTGACCTTTGATAGTCTCTTACTAAGCAATTCTTGTCTTTTTTCCTTTTTTCCTTTTTTTCGTTTATCATTAATTATAATGATAAACGCGCGTGCAGTTTTATTTACCTATAACTGTTTTGTCTCTAATTCTCCTTGACTACCCTATATTCTTGAAATCTCTTTACTGTTTTTCGTTGATTCCTACTAGGCCCCTTTTCCTTTTTTTCTTTTTTTACTTCTCTTTACCTTTAACAGAGTTTTATCTCAAATTCTCCTTCCTAGGCCATTCTTTTTTTTCTATTTCTTTACGTTCCATTTTTTTCTTTCTCCTTAATTGAGTTTTCTCTTTAATTCTCCTTATTTGGCTATTCTTAACTTTTTTTTTCTTTTTTCTTTACATGTTCCTTTATTCCCCCTTTAACTGAGTTTTGTCTCTAATTCCCCTTGACCTTGGTTGACCCGCAGTCCCAGGAGGAGCGGCGGCGCGAGGGCCTCCTTCTGCAGGAGCGCCAGGACCTCGAATCCAGCGCCCAGGAGGGTGAGGTCGATCGCCTTCAGGAGCTCATCACGGCGACACGGAGGGCCACGGCTGCTACCAACGCCAAGGTCACCACGTACTCCACGTATAAGGTGAGGGCCGAGGTCAAAGGTCAAATGGTCAATAGGTCTAAAGGTTGTGGTGAGGGTATGAGGTGATTTGGTAGTTGTTGTTTTTGATATTGTTTCTGTCTGCATTATAATAACAATAATGATAAAGAGTGATGATGATAATGATGATAATAATCGTAATGATAATCATGATAATCGTTATTATCTTGACCATCATCCTCGCATCATTTTATCACACTTCCTTATTTGCTCACCACCACCACACCACTTCCTCCTCCTCACCACCACTTCTCTCTCTTGCCCTTCCCACACCACCATTCGCGCCTCATCGCCATCATCACTTCTTCCTCGTCATCGCACCAATTCCTCCTCACCGCTTCTTTCTCACCGTTTTTCCCTTCTCTGTTTCTCTCTTCTCATCTCTCGTTCATCCTTCTCTCTCTCTTCTCTTTCTCTCTCTCTCTCCTCTCTCTCTTCTCTCTCTCTCTGTCTCTCTCTTCTCTCTCTCTCTCTTCTTTCTCTCTCTCCCTCTCTCTCTCCGCCTTCCCACACCCCCACTCCCACGCCCCACCCCCTTCCCTCCCCCGCAGGACTACGTGGAGAACAGCGTGCGGGCGTGGGGGACGGAGGCGAGCACGGTGGAGGGCGTTTGCGGGCGCTTCCGGGACCTGCTGACCCTCCGCTTCCAACTCCTGCTGAAGGTCCACCACGCGATGCTGCGCCTTCAGCAGTCGCGGCGCCAACTGCTGGTGTTCGTGCAGGTGAGGGGTATTAGGATGTAAATGTCTGCCGGTGCAACGTTAGTATTGATATGAATAGATGCATATATCGTCGTAGATCCAGGTCGTAATGTAGATGCCAAGAGAAGTGCACGAAAGTAGCAGCAAACAGATCCTGGGTTAAGACGAGAGCCCTGCGCGGGCGTGCGTTGCAGGGCGAGAAGGAGCGCGAGGGCGAGGCGCTCCTGCAGCTGTACCGCGAGCGGGCGTCGGGGTGGGCGTCGTCGCGACGTCTGGGCGAGATGGAGGCGCGTCTGGCGGCCCTCCAGACCACGTCCACGCACACGCACACGCACCTCACGCGCGTGCGCCTCGCCATCGTCAACATCTACTGCGTGGCCAGGGCGTACCAGCGCTCCCTGCCGCCCCTGGGCCCGCGCGCCTCCACCTCCACCGTGCTCAAGCGCCTCCACAACTTCCTGCTGGACGCCATCACCGTCACCACCACGGCGCGCGGCGCCATCGAGCCCGCGTCCCTGCGCCCCAGCGTCGGCACCCACAAGCAGAAGAAGGGCGCCGCCGCTGCCGCTCCCGCCGGCGGCAAGGACAGCGCCCGGCGGGACGGCGGCGCCAGCAGCAGGTCGCGGAGGAGCAGCGCCTCCAGCAGGTCGGGCAGGGAGAGCGCCGCCAGCAAGGCCGGCGAGGGCGCGGCGCGCGAGCAGCCGCAGAAGGGCGAGGCCGAGGAGGGCGAGAAGAAGCCGAAGCGACAGGAGCCGAAGAAGTCCCTGAAGAAGGCCGTCAACCTCAGCGAAGCGGCCTCCAAGATGCACTTGCTCAACAAACCGCCCGAGTGATTCCTTGGCTGTTCGTGGCAGGGATTTCCGAAGGAGGGATTGCTCTTTCGCGCCTTGATGTCAGATTGTCTCAGAGATTGTTGTCGCCGCGCCGAAACTTGCTGTCGAGGAATATACTCTTAAATGAACTCAAAGGCCTTTCATTTTGCAACTTAAGAATACGAACACAAGACAGTGGCACCAAACCATACAAAACGAACTCTAACACACGTGTATATATGTGTGCATATACAGTATATATACACAAACATATACATATACACACACACACATATTTCTGACGGATATACATTCGAAACAGGTTAAATACATCTCTTACATATATTCATTCTCATTCACACGTCCGCCTCACCGTACACTCATTCCATCGCTCTCCACATCAACACAAACATTAATAATAAATAAAGGAAAAAAAACAAAAACAAAGAGAAAACATCGCTTAGAGACAGCGCCAAGACCCGTTTTTCTCTTGTCACCGAAGCCGGAGAGGTCAACTTAGGTCAACGCCCCCACGCCAATTGCACGCGAGAGTAAAGAGGAGGGAGAGAGTGGGTGGGGGGTGGGGGGTACGTGAGAAGGGATTGTCTGCCTCTTGAACATCTAATTTATTGCCTCGGGAAAAGACCGATTGGCACAGAGATCATTCCTTTAAAAGATTCGGTCGGATAAACTATAAAGATATACTTTTTTACGTTGTACAGATGTTCTAGTTTTAATGTTTGTTCTTTGACGTTAAAATTTAACATGGTGAATTGCGTTGAAGTCATTTTTTCCTAGTTGAGGGATAGTAATTTTTTCCTAGTTGAGGGATAGTCATTTTTCCTAGTTGAGGATAGTGTTGAGGGCCTAGTTGATTTTTTTTCCTAGTTGAGGATAGTCATTTTTTCCTAGTTGAGGGATCCTAGCATTTTTTCCTAGTTGAGGATAGTAATTTTTTCCTAGTTGAGGATAGTTTTTTCCTCCCTAGTTGAGGGATAGTCATTTTTTCCTAGTTGAGGGATAGTCATTTTTTCCTAGTTGGGATAGTCATTTTTCCTAGTTGAGGATAGTCATTTTTCCTTGAGGATAGTTGAGGATAGTCATTTTTCCTAGTTGAGGGATAGTCATTTTTTCCTAGTAGTCATTTTTTCCTAATAGTCAAATTGATTCCTAGTTCATAGTGAGGATGCCTAGTCAAAACTTTTTTTTAGTCCCATCCCTAGTTGAGGGATAGATTTTTTTTAGTTGAGGGTCATAGTCATAGTTGAGGATAGTCATTTTTTCCTAGTCATTTTTTCCTAGTTGAGGATAGTCCTAGTTGAGGATAGTCGAAATAATTTTTTCCTAGTTGAATAGTTAGAATAGTAATTTTTTCCTAGTTGAGGGTTGAGTCATTTTTCCTAGTTGGGGATAGTCATTTTTTCAATTTGTTAGATTTTTCCTAGTTGAGGATAGTCATTTTTTCCTAGTTGAATAGTTGAGGATAGTCATTTTCCTAGTCATTTTTAGTCCCTAGTTGAGGGATAGTCATTTTTTCCTAGTTGAGATAATACATTGATAAATTGTTTGTTCAGTGCTACAAAACTTTTACTTTCCATGTATTTCTGCGTCACTTTTTGCCAAGTTAAACCGTCGAAAATGCTGAATATTGTAAACAGAATACTAAGTTGGTGTATAACTTTTTATTTTCTTTTTTTCATCAAATGTAGAATCCAGAAAGATATTCTCAGATGAAATAAAAGTTTTTGTTCTATCCTTTGTGCAGTCGGCAATAATTATGATTCACTGATCAAACGTGACTAAGCTAAATCTATAAATTGGAATTTTTTCTCTGGAAAAAAATAATTTATTTAGGAAGGTGATAATGCAAACTTTTGTATCAATTTCACTCTTACTGTTGCTATCTATACTACTATCTATTTCTATACAAGAAAGCATAATTCTAGCTTTTCATCATATTATAATCAGCATCTCTACTATCATCACCACATCAACATCATTATCTTCATCATCATCATCATCGACATCATCATTGACATCATAATTATCAACATCATTTTTATCGTGTCATTTTCAGTTCAACCTACTTTTCTAGACGTTGCTGTGTTGTTAAGTAGAGAGAACAGCTGTTCAGCCAAAGCCAATACGTGTGTGTGCTTCTATTCATGTCCCTCCGCCTAACCTAACAGAACTGTCACTTACGACTACTTCTGTTGCTGTATCTCTCTCTCTCCTCTTCTCCCTACCTCCCTTCCTCCTCTCTCTCTCTCTTCCTCCCCTACCTCCCTTCCTCTCTCTCTCTCTCTCCTTCTCCCTACCTCCCTTCCTCCTTCTCTCTCTCTTCTCCCTACCTCCCTTCCTCCCCTACCTACTCTCTCCTTCTCACCTCCTCTCTCCTTCTCCTACCTCCTTCTCCCCTCTCTTCTCCTGTCTCCCTCCCTCTCTTTCTCTTTCTTTCTCTCTTTGTTTGTTGACATTCTACATTGGACCAGAGTTTTAAACATGATTCGTTTACACACTAAAACATTTACATAAAACAGTTTCTGCCTATTACAGTTACAAAAAGTTCCACCAAAAATTATTCAAGTGGTATTACATTTTCTTTATATCATTATATTTCTATCTTGGATATTACTATAATAATTTCTTAAAGAATTATCAAAACGTGCATGTAAATAGGACAATAAAAGACAACAAATAACAGTATCCATCATTTCTTTATATAATTCATATATTTCAAACTGTAATGCTACATAAACAAATAGCTCTACACAATATATTACAACTAAGTGTAAAAGTGGAATGGGTCCTGAAATGGAATATACTACAGCATCGCTAATCATAACACAATGATATATGTGTACGTCAGATATTAAACATTAAGGCTGTTGATCAAACACTAAGTACATGTAAAATCCTTAATAGTATATGGTGACAGCAATATAGAAGTTTCACATATACAGCTTATGGAAGACGACAAGATCAGATCACATTAGAGGTGCACTGTAAAGAAATCAAAAGTATATGATGAGATTCTTACACGGTCATTAGGTATTTAAAATAATGAAAAAAAAACAATTTAGTCACTCCTAGATACGATCGTGCTACGTTTTCTGTGTTGCTTATGATAATATTTATAACCGTCTGCAACGGAAAGGTTCTGGTATTTTTTTTCGAGATATTATCATAAATAACGTGTAATAGAATCATATCGGAGATTATAAAATGTGAATTTAACACTTTCTTGGAACAGACTGAAGTTTTACGAAGGTTTTGGCAACTCTCGATGGAAGTTTATTTCAGTCTTTTGTCTATTTTCAGAAATTAGGATTTTTTAAGGGAATGACTTCACATTGCACCTGTTTATAGAAGGCTTTCAAATCTTTGATTAGTTGATGTATATTTCTAGATGGTGTAAAAAGGGAGGGCATAACCCAGGACACTTCTAGAACTACACTTATAAAAAGGAAACATTTGTTCGTACACTTTTTTTTTTTTAATTGAGTAATGAATGTTTAAATGTCCATCTTTTGTAGCTTTTTTTTTTGGATATCAAGCTTTTATCAGTTTTTGAATATGGTTTCTACTAGTAAAAACCCATTCATGTAGAAGTGACAAAGAGAGACAACGAGAAACGATTTTTGTTCGCGATCGGAAAAGCACTTCAAGTGTGAGCATTTTCAAAAATTTCACTTCCAAAAAAACAGAAAAAATAACAAAAAAACATTCTTACATAGGGTATTCAAGTTCCGCTTTAGAAAAGAATATTGTATATATATCTTTTTGACATTTTTATTACTCTAAACACAATCGTAAAATAACGAAAATGAGACCTAAACATTCTGAAAAAACAACACGCGGACCACCCTGTTACTAGAATATTTTGCTTTTAATATTTACTCGAAATAATTTCATTGACTGAATACGTTGTGGATTTAATTTTTGGGTCTAATACTTTTCCATAACATTATTTGGATTGTTAAGAAGGCTGTCTGTTTCAACACTGTATAGTGAATGGATAAATGTTAGTCATATATATGGCATATACAGTCATCATGGTGCATATGCTTATATACAAACATTTATATACAAACTATATACAGTACATACATGGCCTACGCACATATATATATATATATATTATTATATATATATATATATATATATATATATATATATATATATATATTATATATACATTTATGTATATATAAACATCTTTTCTAGGGACATTGCAGTTGTCTTTTAAAGAAATATCAGAGTATTACTATTTGTCATGACACAGCTTTGCCACAAACAAAATGCCAAAGAGAAGGTGGCTCATGACACACTTTGGGCTGGCATTCCACTGGTTCTTTCGATGCTAGTCTAATGCCTTACATTATCACAACAAAAAACCTTCATGATCTTTTGGAACTTGGCCATGTTGGTTGAATAAAAAAAAAAAAAAAAGATGAAAATGAAAAAAAAAAAATATACAGTAATAAATAAGATGTTAGTATCATAGGGAAATAAAGTTGGGTAGGAATGTTGATACACAGAGTAAGATATTTAAAGAATAAAGTAAATGGAATGAATTAATACACCGTGATATCTTATCTGTAGTTGTAAAAGAAATATTCTTATGAAAATAACTATATTTTACAGGTGAAAATTATGAGAATTTTTTTTCTAAGGACGTACAAAATAATAATAATAACAAATTTAATATTAATGTCCATGGTAATAGTAATAATAATGATGATGATTAATGATAATGATGATGATAATGATAAAAACATAATAAAAATAATAACGACAGTATTTAAGAGTAAAAATCAAAAGGTAAGGTTAATACTGTTGTAGACAAATATATATATAAAAAACGACGTGCTTTAACAGGAATAAAAGGAACTATATACAACCGAGGAGCTCAATAATAATAATAATAATAATAAAGAAAGTAAAAATCTCTTATATTCTACATTTCTCAAATATTTTACTCTTATGACATACACTATTATGCCTCGCCATATACCAACAGCTATTCTCCACTTGCAGGTATTTTACAAACAGCATATTCATACAAAGAAAAATAAGAAAAAAATTATTACAACATTCGGAATCAAAGTCATGAAGGTAATGATGATAACGGACGTAAATGGAATATTAAATATTATCATTTTATCTTTCGATCCCTTTGGCTGCTCATTTTCGCGATATTCTTCACACTTCAAAGATTATTTAGTCTGATTAATGCATTATAATTTCGCCTTTATTGACTTTTTTCCTCTCATTTTGCAACATGAGGCAAGATCTGTATGATTTTATCTCTTAATTAATGCATCTTTTCACCTTACGCTTATTATTAATTTAATTACGATTAATAATATTTTTTAGGCTTAATGAACCAGGAACTGAACTTTATATGTACTTCCTATTTTTTCATTTATCTTAATTTATCGTTGTCCTTTTTATGTCTTTGTTTATGTTGAAGTGAAATGAAAGAATGGAAATATTAAATATTTTTTCCATATACCGTGTGTTTATTTCAGCTCCCAGCCAAAGGGTTGATCATGGAAACAGGTGAAAATATGAATACAAATTCTTGTAATAACAGAAGATTAAGAACTAATGGCAGAACAGATACAGGTGACCGGGAAGAAATATTTGTTCATTAAAAAATAATAATCAAGATAATTATCATGACTCCTTGAAAATAATTATCTGTATTTCCTTTAAGCAATTGAGAGAAAAAAAAAGTTTCACATGCTTACAATATGCAATAGAACTGGCTAACTTTCGGTTGTGATTTGGAAGTATTATAGACTTGAAAGTAGCAACATTTCCAAAGTTATTTTTCAAACACACACACACATATATATCTATATATCTGTAGATTTATTTCCACATAGAAAATTCTGGAAAGAGAGGCATCAGTCACAGGCACTGCGCAGCGTATCCATTTTCTCTTATCATTTCTAAAACAGCTTTCAAGAATTATAAAAAAAAAAAAGAAAAAAAGAAAATTCAACGACTACATCTCAGCCTTGAGTTGCTGTTCCTCAAGAGCCTGGCTGCCGGTGAGAGCATCGGCGCCGAGGGGGTGCTTCCCGAGGTCGTCCTTGAAGGCAATGAGGCCGAGGTGGGCGTGGGAGGCCTCGTTCAAAGCACGTGAAGTGATACAGGCACGGTACTGATCAGCTGAGAGGGAAGTGGAGCACTCCTTCGGGTGCCACAGGTGGAAGATGCCCGGGTCGGTGGAGCGGATCACGGACAGCCGCGACTTGACGTACCTGCAAGGGGAAAGGATGATAATGAAGATAATAATAAAATGATAATTATAATGATGATTTTGATTGTAATTGCAATAATAGTAATAATCAACAGTAATCTGCGGTTAGGCTGCTGGGTTGTTGCAGGTGCTCGCTGTTAGGTTGTTCGAGTTGTTGGTGTTCTTCGCTGTTAGGTTGTTGGGTCATTAGGTTGTTTGTGTTGTTCACTGTTAGGTTGTTGGAGTTGTTCGCTGTTAAGTTGTTAGAGTTGTTTGTGTTCTTCGCTGTTAGATTGTAAGTTGTTAGAATTGTTTGTGTTCTTCGCTGTTAGGTTGTTGGGTCATTAGGTTGTTTGTGATGTTCACTGTTAGGTTGTTGGAGTTGTTCGCTGTTAAGTTGCTAGGCCATTAAGTTGTTTGTGCTGTTCACTGTTAGGTTGTGTTGTTTGTGTTCTTGGTGCTCCTGTCCAGTATATTCTCTCACGCTTTAAAAAGTCATTTGAATTTTATTTTTTCCTTTTTATTATTCTTTTCGCCTTACATTTATCTCCGTTCTCTTTTTCTTTTTATATATTTTTGTCGGTTATGTAGGTACTGTACTGATGACAAGAAGTAATTTTTAAGATTACCATATAAGCAGCGGGCTTCTTTTTTGTACATCAGATCCTAAATATGGTGTATTTTGAGGTAACCAATAATTTAAATTACCAAACAAAATTAACAACAGATACCTTCAGTCGGAAATAGTAATGGAAACAAAAAGGAAAGCAATAACCCATAAAAATACATCAAAAAAACATGCAGAAGATCTATACAATCACGTGATATCCTTATCATGATTTGGGTTCTAACATCTGACAAGGAGTTTAAACAGACTCGAAAAGTGGCGGTCAAATGTTTCCTTTACTGTTGTGGCTAGAGTTATTATTATTATTTTTTTAACACACACACACACACACACACACACAGACACACTCTCTCTCTCACACACACACACACACACACACTCACTCAACTCACTCACTCACACACACAACAACTCACTCCACTCTCTCTCTCTCTCTCTCTCTCTCTCTCTCACGTAACCCTTATTCCTTCCGCCCCAGGAGAGACGCAGACGAAGGCGCGGCCGAACTCACTTGCGGTAGAGCAGCACGTCCTCTCCTCCCCATCCTATGATATCCTCGTCGAAGCCCTGGACGTTGAGGAAGTCCGACCTGTACTGGCAGGTCATCCCGTAGCCGAAGTCACGCCAGAATCCTGTGTCTCTCGAGATGACGAGTTGGTCCAGTTCCTTCGGGAGAGAGACGGTGATAAGAAAAAAAAGTTTTAAGAAGTTATTTAAAAAATGGATGATATGATAAAAAAGTTATTTTATTAAATAATTATGAAAAGAATATTGACTACATTACAGATGATACGATGATATTAAATAATTATAAAAAATAAATGACTACATTACATACGATGATAAAAAAGTCATTCATTTAATCACTTGGTTAATCACTCTATCAGTTAAATAACTCTTTGGGTGATTACCTTCGCTTTACGTTTTATAGGACTTTGATAGAGAGAATGATGTGGAATGACGTATCTTTGTCGATTTAATTGATAGGATAATCACTTTTCGAAATTAAACTTAGGTCTTTCTGCCTCAACGCGCTTTATCAATATATCTAATTAAACATTCAAATTGCACGATGAATCGGGACGTGGAAGTAAACAGTCCTAATATTATGTAAACAACCAACTCAGGCCAGACAGTTTTGCAATACGCTCTGCATCTTTTTTTTTCAACTCAATGCGAGGCCTCCAAACGGAAGTGAAACGCTTGCATGATATTCGTTTTCGGGAATTCTAATATCGGTTTTTTTCTACCCAGATTATTTTGCTTTTAATGACTGGTATTTACTTTGCGTGAGCTTGAAAAGTGGCATTTACGTGGCTTTGTGTTATGAGTACACAACTTGAATAATAGTCTAGAAAATGGTATAAATAATAAATTCAATACGTTTATTTTGTTTATGGTGAGGAGATGCAGAGGAGAATGAATATCTTCACAGTGCACAGTAAAGATATTCATTTTCATCCATAACCTTTTTATAGATTTGTCACAATGAACAGTTCGTATCAACTATCTACTTAAAATCTACTGTCCTATCAACTATTAAGGACATCGAACATACAAGCCATTGAACTAACAAAAGAACAATGATAACACCACCAAACCACGCTATCAAGAACACACACGAACAGCAGCGAACACTTCCACGCACATCCAAACACCTACAAACACACACAAACACGTACACCTTAAGGACATTTACAGACCCACGAACACCTAAACACATCCAAAGACCTCCTAACACGCACACAAACACCCACGGACACCTTCAGACACTTACAGATACCTACGGACACCTCCCAAACACATCCAAACACCTACTAACACGCACACAAGCACCCACACCTACGGACACTTAGAAACACACGAAACACTCCCAAACACCTACTAACACGCCCGAACACCTACACCTCCGAAACACATTCCCAACACCTCTAACACGCCACACAGACACCTCCCAAACACATCCAAACACCCGCTAACACGCCACGAACACCTACACCACCCAAAACCTCCAAACCACGTACACAAACACCCACGAACACCTCCCAAACACCCGCTAACCACGCCCACGAATACCTACGCCTCCCAAACACATCCAAACACCACGCACACAGACACCTCCCAAACACCTCCTAACACACCCACGAACCCTACACCTCCAAAACCCCAAACACCTCCCGCACACCACCAACCCTTTACCTGAGGCCACAGGTTTCCCCTGGTGCGAGCGGGTAGACCATTGGGGGTTGTAAGGAGAAACACGACGGGGTAGTAGACCGAGTGTCCCGGGGAGGCGTTTGAGGCGAACATCGCTCCAGGACCGCGTGCTGAAGACGAGTTCCACGTCGCACATGAAGAGGAGACGTCGCCCTTGGACAGTGCGTGGCTCCCACCTGTAACGACGGGGGGGAAGGGAAAGGAAGGGGAAGGAGAGGGAAGGGGAGAAGGAGGGGAAGGGATTAGGGAGAGAAGGGAGAGGGAGTGAGAGGGGAGAGGGAGAGGGTTTAGGAAAAGGGGTCTGTTTCCTTTGATTATCGTTTCAGTATTTTATAATTATTAGATGTTTTTCCATGCATCGTTATTTTTATGGATGTTTTTATCATTGATTTTAGCAATACCATTCTTATTATCATCAATAATTATCATAATTATGATTACCTTTATAATAATATAATAATAATTATTTTATTATAATATTTATCATTTACTACTTTTATCATTTACATACTATAATTTATATCATGATTAGTATTATCATTAATTTATCATCATTATAATTGATCACCTTCATTATTCTCTCTCTCTCCTTCTCTCTCTTCGTCTCTCCTCTCTCTCTCTCTCTCTCTCTCTCTCTCCTTCTCTCTCTCTCTCTTCTTCTCTCATCTCTCTCTCTCCTCCTCCCTCTCTTCTCTCTCCCCCCTCTCCCTCCTCCCTCCCCCTCTTTCCCCCTCTCTCTCTCTCTCCCTCCTCCCCCTCTATCTCTCCTCTCTCCCTCTCCCTCTCCCCCTCCTCCCCCCACTCCCTCCCTCTCCCTCCCCCATCCTCCTTACTTCTTCCCTCTTCTCTTTTTCCGCAGCGCTCCTCCCTCATACCCTTTCTCTCTCTCTCTCTCTTCCCCTCCTCTTCCACCTCTCGCTCTCCCTCCCCTCCCTCTCTCTCATCTCTCTACTCTCTCTCTCCCTCCTCTCTCTCTCTCCTCCCCTTCTCTCTCTCTCTCTCTCTCCCTCCCCCTCCCCTCTATCTCTCTCTCTCTCTTTCTCTCTCTCTTCTCTCACTCCCCTCCCTCCCCTCTCTCTCTCTCTCTCCTCTCTCTTCTCCCCCCCTCCCTCCCCTCTCTCTCTCTCTCTTCCCCTCCTCTCCTCCCCCTCCTCTCTCTCCTCCCCTCCTCCCCCCTCCCCTCTCCTCCCCCCTCTCCCTCCCTCCACTCCCTCTTCTCTTCCCTCCTCCCCTCCCTCTCCTCCCCTCTCCTCTCTCTCTTTCTCTCCCTCTCACCTCCTCCTCTCTCTCTCTTCTCTCTTCCCCTCCCCTCCCCTCTCTCCTCTCCTCTCTCTCTCTCCCTCCCTCCTCTCTCTCTCTCTCTTTCTTCCCTCCCTGTGCCCCCCTCTCTCTCTCTCTTCCTCTCCCCGTCCCTCCCTACTCCCCCTCTCCCTTCTCCCTTACCCTCTCGCCCTCCCCCTACCTCGCCCTTCTCCCTCTTCTCTCCTCCCTCCATATTGTTCCTACCTGCAGCGCCTTCCCTCTCGCAGAAGTTTGCGTTGTAGCGTCGTGTAGCAACTCTTCTCTCTCTCTTCCCCCTCCCTCCCTCCCCTCTCCCCCTCTCTCTCCCTCTCCCCCCCCATCCTTACCTGCCCAGCGCCTTCCTTCCTCGAGAAGGTTTCGTTGAGGGTTGAGCAACTCTCTCTCTCCTCTTCCCCTCCCTCCCCTCTCTCTCTCTCTCTCTCCCCCTCCCTCCCCTCTCTCTCCTCCTCTCTCCCCCCTCCCCTCTCTCTCTCTCTTTCCCCCTCCCTTCCCTCCTCTCTCTCTCTCTCTCCTCTCCCCTCCCTCCCTCCCCTCTCCCCCTCCCTCCCTCCCCTCTCCCCCTCTCTATCTTCTCCCCCTCTCCCCCTCTCCCCCTCTCTCCTCCCCCCACCTCCTTACCTGCAGCGCCTTCCCTCTCGAGAAGGTTTCGTTGAGGGTGAGCAACTCTCTCTCTCTCTTCCCCCTCCCTCTCCTCCCCTCTCCGCTTCCCTTCCTCCCTCTCCCTCTCCCACCTCCATACCTGCAGCGCCTTCCCTCCCCTCTCTCTCCTCCCTCCCCTCACCTCCTCTCCCTCCCTCCCTCTCCCTCTCCCACCTCCAACCTGCAAGCATCCTTCCCTCTCTCCTCCCTCCCTCCCTCTCCCTCCCCACCTCCTCACACTGCAGCGCCTTCCCTCTCGAGAAGGTTTCGTTGAGGGTGAGGCAACTCTCTCTCTCCCCCCTCTCTCCCCTCCTCTCTCTTTCTCCTCCCTCCCCCACCTCCCTCCCCTCCCCTCCCCTCCCTCCCTCCCTCCCTCTCCCTCTCCCCCACCTCCTCTCCCTTCCTTTCCCCCTCCTCCCTTTCCCCCTCCCTCTCTCCCTCCTTACCTGCAGCGCCTTCCCTCTCGAGAAGGTTTCGTTGAGGGTGAGCAACTTGATGTGTCGGAACTTGGCTTCCTTCGACGCGTTGGTGATGATGTTCCTCACCTCCTGCAGCCCCTCGTGGCCAAAGTACACGACGGTCAGGAAGACTCTGCGGTCGTGTCTCAAGATGATGGTGACGAGCTTGTCCATGAAGCCACGGAAGGTTTCGGTGCGACCGGAGAGGGGCAGGACGATGTTGATCTGGTGGGGGAGAGAGGGGGGGGGGAGAGGGAGGGAGAGGGAAGAGGGGAGGTTAGTGAATGAAATGCATTGGGGGGGGGAGGTCAGTGAATGAAGAGTATTCATGGTAATGTAGAAATAGGTGTGAATAGGGATGGATAATCTTCGCAATACAAGAGATTGGCGAATTAGCGAAGAGGTCAGTGAATGAAATGAATTCGTGTTGATAAATGTAGAAAAGTATGGATGAGAATATGAATATCTTCAAAATACAAGGTGTATTTGACCGGTTTCGATTATATCTTCGTCGGAAATAATGTGTACACAATGTATACTGACGATATTATCGAAATCGGTCAAATACATCTCTTGTATTGTGAAGATTATTCATTCTCATTCATACATTTTCTACAAAGGTTATCGTAGTAGGTACGGGTTGGGGTCTAGATTTTTTTTCTTTGGAGGGGGAGAAGGGGAAGAAAAGAGAAATAAAAGGGAAAAAAAGAAATAAAAGGGAAAAAAAGAGGAGGGAATAAACTCAATGCATTAAACTATATGCCTTTTTTGAGAAGGGGAAGGAGAAAAAGAGAAAAAGAGATGCATTTTTTGAGAAGTGGAAGGAGAAAAAGAAAAAGAGAAGATGAGGGAATGAAATATATGGAGGGGAAATGAAAACAAGTGAAAGGCACTTTTGAAAAGGAGAAGAAGGAGAATAAGAGAAAAAAAGAAGACGCGGGAATAAATATATAGAGGGAAAATGAAAACAAGTGAAAGGCATTTTAATTATTGTAAACTTTACTTTTTTGAGGAGGAGAATAAGAGAAAAAAAAAGATAAAGAGGGAACAGAATATATAGAGGAAAAATGAAAACACATGAAAGTCACTTTAATTATTGTAAACTTTTTTTGAGAAGGGACAGGAGAAAAAAAAGAATAAAGATGAGGGAATAGAATATAAGCAAGGAAAATGAAAACAAGTGCAAGGCATTAATTCTTGCAAACTATTTTGTGAAAACGGACGAGAGTAAAGTGTAGGTACGGAAAAATTTGACAAATCCAAAAACACAAACTTGATAAAATAAGCAAAAATAAATACGGGTCGGGCTCTAGTTCTTTGAGAAGAAGAAAATGAGGAAATAAAATATATGCTGGGAAGAATGATAACAAGTGAAAAGCACTTTAATCATATTTTTTAAAAAAAGAAGACGAGAAAAATAAAATGCGTGTAGGGAAAAACACGAAAAAAAGTGAAAGACACTTTAATCATTGTGAACTATTTCGATGAAAAATGACGAGAAAAGATAAATGCACTAAAAATAGAATCAAATAAAACACTAATTACTATGAAATATTAAAAAAGACAAAAAGAAAAAGAAAAAAAAATATATATATACGGAGTAATAAAAAATGCGTTTAATTACTGTGAACTTTTTTGAGATAGAAAAAAAAAAACTAGTTTACGAAATACAATCCATCTATAAAATTACGTAAAAAGCCAAAAAAAAAAAAAAAAAAAAAAAAGGCAAAAATCCATATAAATAGAATTCCTGATAATTCTTTACTTTAAAAAAATAAACTGAAGTATAATAAACAGACAGATCTAAACTGAAGATAATGATAATTGTAAAAATAAATGTTGTGATGCAAAATAGGGATGGAGTTGATACCAATATTAGCAAAAGAAGTAGTAATAATGATAAAATTAAACACATTAATAATACTAATCATACATATACACGCACACACACACACACAAACAAAACAAACACAACTCACACCCACACAAACACCCCCCACAAACACACACACACCCTCCACAACACACACCCACACAACACCCACCACACACATACACGCACACACACACACAAAACACCCACCACACATACAC